TTCCAGCTTCAGAGTTTGTTTCATTTCTTCAAATGAAAAATAGTCATTAAACCACAGCAAATAGCAGAATGTGTATTGTAGCTTGTCTCGTGGTTTGTTAAACTCATGTTCAACCAGCTTTAGGAGTGTGAGTTCTATGGTCGTCTTATCAGACCCAGTTTTGGGAGCGTCACCAGTATTTACCTCCAGTGTTTTATATTGATCATACTTAGACTCTCATGCACTAACAGTGACATGTTGTGCTGTAATAAGTCCTCTCATCTCTCCTGTTTTCACTCTGAGCATATTTCCCTCTCTTACAAACACTCAAACTGACACACTGAGACACACACAGCAGTGCAGCCATCCTCCATAATAACGCCCTTGTCATTTACGTGACGGAGCGACTCCATTGGCCAAGATTCAGATTGGCACGGATTCTTTGTGACCGACGTCAAAAATTGCGTCGAGGCTGTGGCATCCTGCCAGCGCTCTTTATACTGCTGTTAATTCTTCCCTGCTAAATGTATTTCCTTACAGCACCACAGCGGAGGACAGCTGTCACACTGAGATAAGATTCTAAACAAATCTAGTCGTTCATCAGGAAAACTCCCTTCATAAAGTCATGTATAATCTTTCCTGAGCAATAACACTGTCAGAATTTGGGGTTTAACCATGGAACTGTCTTAAAACAGTTTACAGTTACAACATGTAGCCCTTCAGTAACACTAATACATCATTAAAGCCTGGGTTTTCAGAAGTAACTATTACTTTAAACAATTGATGACTAGTAATGATGATTGTGAAAGCCTTTGCATGTACATTACATGGTTTCCTGTGGTGACTCCCTCTCTTGCAGAGTAATTGGCATTGATTGGATTTAACATGGTCAGACACATATGTAGCGAAAACACTGTCATAACAAATCAAACAGTGATGGCTGAGGGTTGGACACTGAGCTGGCAACTCCATCCTGAAAACAGCTAAAAGTCCCTTTAGTGCATTTGTGTTTGTGTCTCCATCTCAACAGCCACAAAAATCAGACAGATTAGACTGATGATGGGAAAATTGTTGAGTTCAATGGTCAGCTTGGGCCGATATTCGATAATATCAAATATCACAACATTTCCAAATTCTACCTGAAACACAAACTACAACTATATAATTATATTATTAAAACACCCGGCCCTTGATAGTATTGTGTATCGCGATATTTGGCCTGGACTGTATCAAGATATAAACTTTTGGATATCGCCAATCCTATAGTATTGAGACGTGATTTTGTGACTGATATATGGATGGATGTTGGCTCTATGTACAAAAGTGCAAATACAGATTGAAATCATCCAATGGGCAAGATCTTACAAAGAGTATTTTTCAGGTACATTTTTTCTGTGTTTTTCTCATGGTCGAAGGAGGGTAAGTTTATGGGAAGTCACATGTTACTTTTGGAAGAAATGCAGGATGTCAAACCTCAGGCACTTAAATCTTTCCTTACCTACATCAGAGTACAAAGCCCCTTTACTTTTTTCACTGTGCACATTGGCTCAAGCAGCAGCAGCAGTCCTTCATCTAAAGCTTATCGTTTCAGTGTGATGAATGATGTAAAATGGAATAGGAGGTAGCAAAACCACTGGCAATAAAAAGCTTTTTCTTACTCTAATTATATGCATGAAGGGCAGAAAAGAGGCACAGGAGAGTGGAAAGCGCCACCAAAGACCCTGTAATCTCAGTAAATAACAGCCTGAAAGGTTATTATGGCTATTTTCTTGAGTTACAAACACTTGTTTGCTGTTGTCTTCATAGTAATGGACATAAATAAAAGAGCAGCCATAGAAACACAGGCTGCTTACAACAAGAATTATTCACTGGAAACAATCTCGGTGTCGAATAATATTGGATAATCTGCTGTCATTCAGCAGAAGATGACACACTGAGAGTTGACGTGATATAAAATAACTCATTCCTCTTGCATATATGTGTATTATAGATAACTACTCAACAGTAGCAGTGTTTTAGTGTCACCTATCAGAGTGGTGTTTGATAAAGCAAATATTACCCATTCAGACAGGCGTACCTAAGCAAATAATGTTAGGAAGTTTGATCCAGGTTGGATTGGAGAGGCTTCCCTCCGGACTAGTGTATTCCTCAGGCTCGCTCTGTGTTCAGGATTTCAAGAATTTTAGAGGAAGTGGTGCAATCTGAATTATCATGTGTCAGTCGGCTTTGTGAATCTGCTTCTTAAATGAACAGAGACAAGAGTGAAAAAAGAGAGAGAGTAGAGGGTGTTAACAGAACTGGAAGTTCTGCTGAGTTCCATATTTTCCTGTTCTCCTGTGTTTTATTTGAAAGATATATTTGTGGTTTTAAGAACCAAAAACCATCTCAATGTAAGTTTCACATCTCCTGTCTCAGGCTTCTCTCTGGAGCTCTGGTAACAACAGGTCGGTGCGCCAATCAGGGGAGGCTCTGAGCCTCTCTTCTGATTGGCTGGCTTTTTTCGGAGTGATCAAAGAAAAATAAAGTAGATTTCAGGTAAAACACTCAGAGAAACCAAATCCTGTAAGGTTGGATGGTGGGTCCAGATGGGTGGGGCTCGGGTGACTGCTTTGTTTTGACATCATAAAGTTCCAGAAGTCCTGATGGCTGGTTTTCACAATATCAATATAGAACCTAGACCTGCTTTGTAATCAAACTACACATGGACATCTACCTTTAGACTATGTGGGACCTTTAATTCCAGTCGGAGGTTGAACGGAACACATACGCATGAAAACTGAATACCATCAATGACCACCAGGGGGCTGAAGCGTTGGGGGGGGGGTGTAGTTTTACAGTTTCTGTGGCCTTACATCCTCTCTGCTGTCAAAGCCTTCTATGTTGCAGTTCATTGTCTGTGAACAGCCAAAGTGAATGTTGCACTGTATGGGTGTAACAGTACAAAGAATGTCTTTGTCACTTGCTGACTGGCTTGCTGCCTGCCTCAATAGCTGAGGACCTGCTTGGCTGTATGTCTCTGCGCTGACTGGTTAAACTGCCACATGAGTACATGCCTGCATGTGTGTCACACTGGTGCTTTTTTGGAAACACTGAGTGGTGGTGCGGGCAGTGGAGGCTTGCTGGTGACTTCCCACCGTTCTGTCCTGTGAAATGGGACATTGTTCTGTTGATGCTGTGCAGGACAGTGACACTGTGCTGTGACTCAAACGCTAAACATGAGGTGGAAACAGAGGGCTTACCACACTCAGTGTAGAGTACAGCAAAACGGAGATAGTCGCCTGGTAACAGACTTCACCACAGGACAAACCTGGTTGTAGAAGGAGCTGAAAATATAATTGTTTTTCTCTCTTGTTGCTGCACCAGATGGTTGATGTTTACGGCATCAGTACTACTTTAAGTTACAATTCGAACCACTGAAGTTTCTTTCTTTTTTTCTTTTTTTTTACACCATAATAGTAAACACATTCAGAAAGTATGAACTGGGAGCTGCATTTAAGTTGTTTTTGCTATTCATTTAACTGCTTATTATTTTTTAGAATTAGCTGATTAATAGTTTTAGTCAATAACGTGAAAAATACCTATAGAGATCAGGGTGAGGCCTTCAAATGTCTTGTTTTGTTGGAACAACAGCCCAAAAATATTCACTTTACAATTATATAAATCAGAGATAAGCAGCAAATCCTCACATTGAAGAAGCTGCAACCAGGATGGAAGTTATTGTTTGATAAATTACTAAAATCAGTAATTGATTATCCATGTTGTGTGTATGTATATATATATATATATATATATATATAGATATTTGTTTTAACAATTATAACATATATGTTATTATATATTAAGATGTGCAAAAAAAAAAGAAGTTCCTGTTGTAACAAGTAAACTGTGCAGTAATGTAATCTGTCTCCGTCTCATGTGATGATCCTCCCAGCATCCTCTCTGACTGTAACAAGAGGAAGCTCTCAGACCTTTCTCTTGCTGTTGACTAGCTGCACAGAGCGCTTTCTGCCTGCTCACTGTACATCACACATATAACTGCACACATAAAATACACACACACATTTGTGTGTGAGTGTGTGTGTGTGTGTCTGTGTGTGTCTGTGTGTATTGGCTATACCTGCCTCACATTCTGATTTAGTACTAGTGAAAGTTTTTTATTCCACCACAAGGAACCATCAATACTTCATAGTGCAGGAGGAAGCTGTGTGTGTGTGTGTGTGTGTGTGTGTGTGTGTGTGTGTGTGTGTGTGTGTGTGTGTGTGTGTGTGTCTGTCTGTCTGTGTGTGTGTGTGTGTGTGTGTGTGTGTTTTGTTGTTGTTGTAGAAATATCTCATTGGCTTCACTGTACAGGTGTTTTCAGTTTCCAAATTGTCCTCCCTCTCCTGCTGTAAAATTCAAACTTGTCCTCACAAAAATACAAGAACATCAGAAAATGCCACCCCCCTTCCCCCCACCCCCCCTCCTCCCACAGCCTTTTAGAGTTGGTAACACAGACAAGAGACTGAATGTTGCAAACACTGACAAACTGGAATATTTGCAAAGTGAATGGTCATGTGTTCATTCCTGTTGCTGCTCCAGGCGTCTATCCTGAGGGCTTCAGGTGCCAAATCATGTGAAGGGAAGAATCTGTCCACAGAGCTAATTGACAGATGAGAGATTGTGGGAGTTGAATCCTCTCTGTACGACGAGGCCTGTCCCTGGCTCAGGTGGAGATGTTTTGGACCTTCCACCTGGTGTTGTTTGTGTGTGTGTGTGCGTGTGTGTGTGTGCGTGTGTGTGTGTGTGTGTGTGTGTGCGTACGTGTGTTGATCTGTTGCAGAGGAGGAGGAAACTCCCGCAGCTTGTCGAGAAGCCGCTCGTCCTGTTGTGAAAAATTCATCAGAACTTTAGTGTAATGAGTCTTCCACACGACTTGGCCAGTCGTTTGAACGAGGCTGTGGAGGAATGGACTTTACTGAGCAGTAAAAAGACGTCTAATCCTCATCACCTTTCACCCCCCCCACACCCCCCCACCCCCGCAGGTCGGCTCTTTGCTATGCAGACGGGCATGAAGCTGGACAGTAAAACACCAGAGTGCCGAAAGTTCCTGGTCAAACTCATGGACCAGCTGGAGTCGGTAAGTTACTCCCTCTACTAACCTACATCAGTCCTGTTTCTTCCTGTGTGGGATCCTGTACTGGCTTCTTGGGGGAGGGTGTGCGGGTGGGGGGGACTGCTCTGTCTCAGTCTATGTATATTTTATGATGCTGTTACACACGACATCATAATACAGTCATTTTATATCTCTGTGTGAACATGATATCTCAGCAACACCTTCATACAATTTCTTCAGATTTGGTACAAACATTCATTTGGACTCAGGGATGAACTGAAGAGAATTTGGTCATTAAAGGTCAAAGGTCAAGGTCACTGTGACCTCACAAAACATGTTTTGGCCATAACTCAAGAATTTATAATTCAGACTAATTATGACACAATTTCCAAAAAAATGGAAAAGGATAAAATGGAAAAGTGATGATATTTTATATGGAAAAGGTCAATTTCATTGTGACATAATGTTTTCTGGCCATTATTCAGTGCAACTCAGGAAAGGGAGATTGTGACCGTATTTCACTTGTGTGTTGAGGTTTCTGGCACAACTTCACCTGCGTCCAGTGTCTGTCCTGCTCAGTGCTTTGCAACATTGCCTGAAATGACCTAATTCAACTGGAGATCTTTCAAGGAGGCGATACCAACACTCACAGAAATAACACCCGCCGAGTGAAATGGGCTTTGGCTCAATCACTCGGCTGCTGAAGCACTGAGAAAATCATCTGAATCACTCCCCTTCAGTAAAATGTTGCTGAAGTTTCAGTTTTGTTCAGACAATATTGCAAAGAAGCTTCAGGACCACTGGACTAGAGCTGAGTCCAAAGTCAGGAGCCCGCGGTGCGACTGGACTGTCCCATTTCAAAGGCTCCTTCAAATGTGGCCGAGAAATGCGTCCTCCTTTTCCTGGGCAACAAAGGCACCAAGGGGTGGATCCTTCATGGCCCAGCCTATCCCAAGATTCATTGCACGCCCAGCTAATTAAAATAATATGGCAGCAAACACCGACAGAGAGCTCAAGGATTACACTTTTAAATGCAAGTATTGGGTTTCAGCTGGTACAACTGTTAAAACTGTTAAAATCAACGGCCTTAAAACCTTTTGTTCATATTGTCGAGGTTGCTAGGCGTCAGGAGCCCGGCAACGGCACGGGCGGGCCCAGCTGGTGATGCAAAGTGAAAATCCTGCATAGACCGTACAGTCTCATTTCGGTTCGCCTCGACGAAAGGCCACACCTGCGTAGGCTGCGTCCTCCGAAGGATGCGGGCCCTGAATCGGGACACAGCACAGAACATCACATCATGGTGCCCAGTTTAAATACTTGTACATATAAAGATCTAGAGTCTAACACTGTGGCAGAAGTTAAAATAAATAAAGATAATCATGAGGACACATTTGCAAAAGATGTAACTGAAGGGTTGATAAGGATCTTGTTTCGTATTCATTCGAACACACACATACTTCCTGAAGAATAATGGTGTTCAAGTGCTGTTATCATCATACATCAGTATCAGAGGTGTGTCTGTTTGATATGGAAAATGCTGCTGGAGCACTGTCATTACACACAGGCAGGGCTGCTGGCTGCCTGTAATGTCACCTTTTACCAAGGCACCACATGCATGAATGGCTCTTTTCTCACCAAGCACACTGCAGAACTGTAGCGCTGGGCTCCACTGAAACACAAACACACACACTAAAAGGCTTGACATTTGCCTGTTTGTCATCAGTGGCTGGGGCTGGTCGCGGTGGGTCTTCCCAGAGGTTTGAGGTTTCCTTCCTCAGAGATGTTAACTACACCACAGTTACTAGCACCTGCCAGTGGGATCAGTGTGTTCTTAAAAGTGTGCAGAGCGCCACCTAGAGGTTGGATGTACAATAAAGCAGGAAGATGACTTTAAATAAGAGCCTTATTTCATTCAACACAGCCTCCAAATGATGGGCTGTTACCAGCCTAACACTTTTAGATAAAATGAACATAAATATTCTGCTGCTCTTCTCTTCTGTTTTTCACTTTTACCGTCTCTTTCTTCAACGCTCACACTGTGGTCACTGAACTGAAAAAAATCAGTGTGAGTCAGACTGAGCAGCAGCTGTATGAGTTGTTATTGTCAACTGGTAGTACTGAAGAAAAGTGACAAGTAGCTTCCTGGAAGGTTAGAAAGTTTTTTCTTTCATTTAAGAGCTCAGCAATTAATTTGAATATTATTGAAATTTCAATATAGCCAAGTGCAATATCCAAATCGCAGGAGCTGCAGTTTTTTTTTTTTAACAAGGGTAAAATGTGTCACAACGGACCATAAATGAAGCGTTGCGGTGCTACAGAGATGCCCCAGCCCACAAATCATATTCTCCAGATGTAAAGGAGCATGTTCGTTTGGTACAATCCCCAACAAAAACTCTGAGGAGACCCCGGGGGAAGACCCAGAGGTTGCCGGAGGGATTACATATCCCACCTGGCCTGCAGACGCCTCGAGATCCCCCAGTTGGTGTAGTGTGTAGTAGTGTTGCTATAGAGAGGTATATCTGGAATACACTGCTTAGCCTGCTGCCACAGCGACTCGACCCTGGATAAGTGGAAGAGGATGTATAGATGGATGGATGGTTGGAAACGTGAAGACCATATCAGACATTTTCTCATTCAATGCACTGGATTTAAAAAAAGAAAAAAAAAAAACGACCCTCAATTTGTTTCCATTTATTCTCCGACCTCACAGGTACGTATTCATATCGTCTGGTTAAAGCCGGGTCGAGGCCGGTGCTTTCGTTTGACAGGCACTAACTCTGAGTAGGCTGCTCTCTGGATTGCCAGCAGGGGCCACGCTAATTAGACTTCATAGGGCTGTAATGGTGAGGAGGGGGCAAGGATGGAGGAAGTGAGATGAGACGGGCTCGGAGCCCCCCGACGGGGGTCAGACAAATGAGTTTTTTTATCCAGACTGAGAGGAGTGGAGGAAAATCACAACACCTACAGGCTTCAGTAGGTTTGATCCTGTGCTGCCATATTCAGCAAATAAGACATGTGAGAGGATGTCTTTTGTTTGCATGTGCAGAGCGACTTCTGAGCACCAGCATCTAGAGATACTGTTCCAGAAAAAGAAGAGAGGAGTGGAGAGGAGGTGAATGAGATCAGGTCATAGTCTTTATAGAGGGGAGGAGGAGTCGGGGTGGGTTGAGGAGGTGGGAAGTCCCACAGTGATGCTGGACTCACTTTATTGATTGCTTAGAGCCAATTAAAGGACACAGTGGACAGAGATGAAAACATGCAAGTACACACACACACACACACACACACACACACACACACACACACACACACACACACATAGAGCTCCCCCCTTGAGCCAGGTTTTATAGAGGCTTCAGGGATCTTCATTACTGTCACACACTCACTCTCCCAACAGGACTCACATCCGCTGCTTTGATGTGTGTGTGTGTATATGCTCTTGTTAGCTGTTACTCAAGTTGGTATTAGCTTCATGTTGGTTCTGTTTATTCACTCTGAAGTACATATATACGTCTGTATATTTACATAGGTTACACCTCCCATTGTCAGGTAGTTATCAGATTATTACATGTACTGAGGGAGCTGCTTAGTTGATTAATATTAAACCTTTCAATACTGTTATAACAATGAGTTTGTTGAAACAGTTTTACAGAGGTACTGAACTGCTGCAGTTGAATTGTGTTGCGTTTATACTTAGAGGTGTTTCTAATATTTAGTCTAACCTTGTTGGTAAAATATTCAAAGCATCGGCCCGAGCTGGTGACTCAGTCTGTCCTGGTGACTCAGAGTGCTTCCATCTGTCCGCTTTCCTCCACCTTTCTGGATCTGGGTCAACTCAACAAGCTCAACAAGGACTGGGTTATACTAGAAAACAAATCGCATCAGAAACCAAAAGTGTTTATAGCTGTTCCAGCTGAACGGCGTCAATTTTAAGGTGGAGTGAAAAGCCTGCTGTCATAGGGAGGGGCCAGATGTGATGTTGTTTAGATATGGAGGTAATGGTGCACATTTACAGACAAATCCATCAGTGTGTGTAAATATCAGATTTCCAGTCCACATAGCTCAGGGCCTGCCCCAAGGTCTTCTGATCGTGAATCATCTCAACATGAAGGAGCTGTCGTTCTCTACTCTCTGCGCTCCAGACAGGTTGAGCCAATCGACACCCTGAGATGGAAACTCATCTTGGCCTCTTGTATCTGTGATCTCGGTCTTTAGGTCATTACCTAGAAACTCATGTCCACAGCTGAGAGATGAATGGCAGATTGAGTGGTAGATCAGGACCCCCCCCCCCCCCCCCTTTTTATGGAGTAAGGCCTGGAAGGGAAACGCCTGATGGCTCACGGCCACGCGGCCTGGTTGTGCTTATCCTGAAGGATTGGGTGTGGGTCCACAACTTGGAAGGCTGCACATGAGGGTCGACTGCGTTGCCAATGGGGCGTCAGACAATTGTTGGGGGTATTGGCATGTTATAATGATATTATCTTGATAATAAACTTTATTTATACAGCTCTTTTCTTAGCAGTGTTACTAAAGAAATAAAAGCAGACAAGGCATATAAAATGAGAACATGAGCACATGTCGGCCCCAGGCTAAGAGCTGGTTGGACATGGGCGTCCGCACACCTTTGTTCATACAGTGAATCAGTATGTGGACTTTTTGATTGTTGCCTTTGCCATCATTTATTTTCAGAACTTTGATTTGTTCAAACTGGCATAAATTGATAAGATAGTTTAAATAAGAAAAAGTTTGATGTATTAAATCCAGATTTTCTTTAAATTCATTAATTTAATTCATTTATCTTTTAAAATGTTAAATGTCATAATCTAGTTGTCCACACAGTCCACCACACAAGGAGATTATTTATTCAGGACATTTGTATATGAGTGTGTGACTGTAAAACAGCCTTTTCTTCTTTCTGAAACACGGGGATACCCTGAGGTTTTTTTTTTTTTTTGTTGTATGTTCCACTTCTTCATGAACTGTTGCGGGTAGTTGTGACTCATTTCTACAGAGTGAGCGAGTCAGGACTCAAACTACTCTCTCTCTCTCTCTCTCTCCCTCTCCCTGAAGACCTGGCTCGTACCTACAATACATGTTTGACTCATTAATTCTATTTTCCACCACCGTCGCCGGTTCAACTCTCCGAGGCTGCGCTCTCACTGGGACGGTGGAAAATCGCTTGTTTAAAAATCAGTTTCATATGGTGCAGGGTGGGAAATCGGCAGCAGCTACCAGTCCGCTGCTGCTAAATTTAGCTGCAGTCGCCACTGAAGTTATAGGCCTATCTAAAAATACACAGAGTCGTCGAAGAAGGCTGCGAATTAAGGGATGAAGAGTGATGGTAGTCATCCTCAGTCACTTGTTTACATGTCTTTTAACTGCCTTTCAAGGAGTTTGTTTTTAGCATGATGGAGATGATTGATGAAATTTCATCTCAGCGGACGGCAATGATGTATAGCACTCACTGTGATTCATGCTGCTCCTTATTCAATATCACCTCGTACATGCTGTTTAATTTGGCTTATCCAAAACATACATTAATAACATACTGTACAGAAATGACTCTGTGCTGTGTGGACAGATGTGAGCCACAGGGTATTTTCCAAAGCAGCTTTTGTTTCCACCTTGCCACTTAAGTATCATTTGTAGTGGAGGTGGGCATTCTGATGATCTTATATTATGGACGATCTGACTTTGGCATATGATCTACTTTTTCAAATGAATCATAAAGATCCTGTGATTAAAAGCTGCTTATTACATGATTTTAAAAGTTTAGTTACTGCTAACCAGCAATTGTTAACAGCTAAGCAGCTAGCTCGCCAACTGCAGCTGGCGACGTCAGTCCTGGTTCTGCTCTGCAGCCTCGGTGAACTTAGGCGTAGCACCACATGCACCAGTTCCTGTTCTACACCGGAGCAGAACAAGAACCACCGTCACCAGCTGCAGTCCAAGACGAAGGAGTCGCAGTCTGTCCGCTGCGATGAGAGACCTGTCTGCAGACAGGGAAACACGAGGCGAAGGGGAAGAATAGCGGCAATCGGACAAACATCTGAAAAACGTTTGTGGCAGAAAGTTGCAGAAAGATAATAATCGCAACCTCTGGTCATGACTTTCAGAATAAAATCAAAAAGTGTTTGTGAGTTGTGGCTTTTGAGTTGAAGTGACAGGCTTTGTGTCCAGGCAAACTCGTGATTCGATCGTTTGGTTCTCAGTCAGATAGAAAGCTATAAGAGTGAGCTGGACCCTCAGTGTCAGTGTAGTTGGAATCTTTGTTTTCCCTGGCCAGTTGTCTTGGTCATACATTCCTCTGCTCTGCTACAGCAGTGAACAGTGTATCTATTCAGTCAGGTAAGGGTCCACCTGTTGGAAAGAACCAGCATGTTTGCTTTAGTGATTTTTACAAGAAACCTGAAGCTCTGCTGGAGAGAGAGAGAGAGAGAGAGAGAAGGAGAGAGAGAATTTCAGGTGGACATCATTCAAAGTGAAGGCAAATGGGGCGAGATAGAGACTCTATGGCTTATAATTAAAGCCAACATGTTTTTACTTGAAAGAGAAATGTTTATATTGCCCTAAACCAAGAGATTTGAGTTTTCTTGAAGCAACACACTCGTGTGTGTATTTATTGGAGCACATCAGTGAAGAAAAACAACACTGAAGGCTGCTCGATTTTATAAGTCCGATTTCCAAACAGATATCAGTGATGCTGCAGAGATGCATGGTTCATAAAGACCTGTGTGAAGAGATGGTGGTAAGTTTGACTCAGGACCTGGATCAAGTTTTAAACTTTGTGTTTTAATTAAAGCCAGAGCTAATTGTAGCCTAATTTAGAGAAACCTTTACTGGCGGAAAAGTGGCAGATGAATCATTTATAAGTAATTGTGTGGGTGTGTGTTTGTTTTCCAGATGAAGAAGGAGCTGAGTGACAACGACTCCATCAGTCAGGAGGTCGTTGGTAACGCTCACATCGAAAACTACGCCTTAAAAATGTTCATCTACGCCGACAACGAGGACCGAGGAGGACGATTCCACAAGTAAGACACGCAGCTTCTTTTTCACGTTGTTGAATGAGTGGTGGTTGTATCAGCTTTAGCTGGAGGAAGATTCTAGTGTAGGTGTATCTGTTTGAAGACTGTCCACTTCCAGACCTCTTCTCCTATCCTTGTTTCCTTTCCTCTTCTCTTCTCCTCTCCTCTCATTTCTTCTCCTCCCCCCTTTTTTCTTCCCCTCTCCTATAATATCCTCTCCTCCACTCATCTATACTGTCCCTCTGCTTTCCCTCCTTCCTCTTCTTATCTCCTCTCCCCTTCCTTCCTTCCTCTCATCATCTCCTGTGCCCTTTCCTTTCCTTTCTTTCCTTCTGTCCTCCTCTTTTCTCCTCTCCACTCCCGTTCCCTCATCTCCTCTATCTCTATTCCATCCTTTTCTCTTCATCTTTTTCTTCTCTCCCCTCTCTTTTCCTCTCCTCTCCTTACTCTGCAATCCTTACACCTTTCCTCTCCTCTGCTCTCCTCTCCTCTCCTTTCCTTCCTTCCTCCTCTCCTCTCCTCTCCTCTCCTCTCCTCTCCTCTCCTCTCCTCTGCATGCTGTTAGTTAATTAAACATGCTCCTAATTAGAAAACTCTTTAACTTTGCATGTCTCCTCCCTGCCAGCTAATCTTGTCACTGGAGTGATTACACAGCCAATGAGTCACATCAGGCTACATTTTATTATGATCGCTTTCAGCCGTACACACGCACACGCACACGCACACACACACACACACACACACACACACACACACACACACACACACAAACACACACACAGTGTGTCATCCTTTCAACCTATTTGTCTCTTAGCAACAGGCGGTGAGTCGTGCGAAGCCTCTCGCACTGTGTGAGGCACTAGCTGTCTGTACTACATGTTTATTTCTTATGGTATATGTCACTAAAACTAAGGAGATCTACTTCTGTCCGTCTGTCAGGAGTGAAAGTGGAGGTACTGTGATGATGCTGTATCACCAACAAGCTCTAAAGGGAGTTGGGACATTGGGAGACAGCTAGGCTTTGGTGATATCCAAAATTTTATCAATACAGTCCAGCCCAAATATCACAATATACTGTATGATAATTGATATAGAATATTATCGAATATTGGCCCAAACCTAGAGACAGCTGTTCTTTTTTTCATTTGATAGCAACCATCAGTGTTGGTTTCTTTTAACTATGATTGTGATCTTAGATTGGTTTTTGTGCTCAAAACTATCCAAACCTCAACGGTGGCTGTGGCTGATCAGAAAACAGTCGAGGGAATCATTGTCCTGGTCGGACAGGTTTGGAAGACATTGACAAAGCTGTTGTCTTGCTGGCGTGTGAATCAGATGATTAAAATTCTGATACGGTATATATGATATGTCGGAAAACCTTCGGACCTGTTGCATGTGTGTGCATCTCAGCGCACGGCTCGGTGCATGTATATGCGTGCGTGCGCCAACGGTGATGATGACTCAGCCGCTCCTCCCTCTCCTCAAACCACAATCATTTCATCTCTGTCCATGCACACCGCACTTTTCCATCCGCACTGGAGCTTCGACTTCACACCGAGATTCAAACAGGCTGCAATAAATACTGCAACAGAGATGATTTGATCCTGTTATGTAAGATGATACCAGCACCAGTAACCTACTAAAACAACATTGATGGAAAGCCTGTGTAAATGCACACCAGTGGTTTTTAGTTTCAATTAATTTCTTCAAGCTCATTGGTCTTTCTTTGCTGAAGCAGTGGAAAGACAGATGGTGTGATATTCCCAGTCAAATGTCAATGAACGTGTAATTTTTATAAAATCCTCACAAAAAGACAGATGCAAGTGAATCAGCCATTCATGAGAAAAACAGAGCAGCTCCTCAAAAATCAGTCGGTCTTTATTCTCTATGTTTCTACAGAGTGTTATTGATTACAGCTGCTGATTCCAATTATTTGAATATAGGCATTTATTTGAGACTTCATGGTGACTGAACAGACTTATTTCTTGTGTTAAGCTAGATTTATAATTCCATGTTAAAGCCAACCCTGTCTCCTAGAAATGATCTTTTCACACAAGTAAACTAAGTTATATTTTCTATTAACATAATAATGAAATGTTAATGGTAATTTACATATTTGGTCATAAATATATTGATTCTGAACTTATCAGTAAAATGTTCACAGACATGTTTTTTTTTCACCAAAACATCTGATCTTGCCGAACAATACCCTCTTGTTTTGACTCCAATATTATTAGACTGTTGTGTGGTTCTGTCTGTCTATAGACTCGAACAGCTCTGGGTTCAGGTTAAGAAAGATCCTGATCTGGTTTAGTACAGAAGAGGTTCACAGTGACTTCAGACTGTTTATTTACATTTAACCAAAACCATGTTTCCTGAACCTTAACCAAAGTGGTTTTGTTGCCTAAACCACAAACGGGACTCTGGGTGTGAACCTGGTCTCTGTAACTACACAGCAGCTACTGAAATACCATGTGGAGACAACAAGAACTAGGGATAGAACTGATTATTTTGATTATTATCCCCATTATTTTCTTAATTAATTGATTAATCATTTGTTCGATAAAACATTAAAAAAGCGCCCATTACAGTTTATTTTCTAGACACCAAGGTGACGTATTCAGATGTCTTGTTTTGTCAGACCAACAGCCCAGAAGCCAAAGATTTTCAGCTTACCATTATGAAAAACAGCAAATTGTCACATTTGAGAAGCCGGGACTGGTTATCCAGGAAAAGTTGAATCGATGGCAACTGGACCTGTTACATCTCAAACATCTGCTTCTTTCTAGTATCTATTCTACAATCAAGTCCAGTTGCCCTCGGTTCAACTTTTTTTTGGGAAACCATGACCAGCAGGACTGAGAATCTGCACAGACTGGAACTAAGAAATGTTTGAAAAATCTTAAAAAATGACAAAATAGTTACCAATTAACTTCCTCTCAGTTGAATAATCAGTAATCATTACAGCTCTGAAATCTGTAAGGAGAATATTTGGAATGTTATTTTGAACAGTTTGTGATATTTCTGTTCTGGAATATACTTGGTGTTTTTATCTGTGGTTTAACTTTATAGATATTTCTTTCTTGTGTTTTGGTGTTTTGGGAGCGGTTCAGTTTCCATTATTTTTATGGATGAATCAGTTGAACATGAATGAGAACTGTGATTGGTCACCACGGTCTGGTTGTCTTTGCTCCAACAAGTTCCTTCCATGGAAGTTTAAAATTTGGCTTTGTCTGCTAAGGTGGTGCTTATTTAGGTCAGGAAACAACCTCAGACAGTGTGCTTGGCAACCTGTTGATTTAATGTGCGTGTATGTGCTTACAGGGGAGTATTTGATCTCAAATATTTGTGCGTAGGATATGTGATAAGAGTGTTTTCACAGGAAGGCCAATTTTTTTTTTTTTTTAACATTTTGGAGTGTTGATAATTTTCTCCATCAGCACCTCCCTTTCCACAGAACTTGGTAATATTGTAGAAAGAGGGTCAAGGAGATACCAGAGAGGAAGTGTAAACAGAGATATAGCTGCCAAGTAGGCCCAGTTTTTACAGAGAGAAAATTCTGTCCCAGATGTGATTGTTGAATCCGCCCAATTAACTCACCAGGAAACAAGGGAAGAAGTAGTTTCAAAATTCATTCAGATTTAATTTGATGATTTGAAATGTTTGTGTAACCATTAATAAATCCATCAGTTTATGTAATTGGATAAGTTCAAGTAAAGGTCCCATATTTTCCTCTTCCTCTGTGTTTTATTTGAAGTGTTGATCCATAAGAAGATATATTTGTGGTTTTAAGAACCGAAAACCATCTCATTGTAGTTTTACATCTCCTCTCTCAGGCTTCTCTCTGGTCTCTGAGCCTCTCTTCTGATTGGCTGGCTACTTTCCCAGTAACACAGGGCCAGGCCAACCATAGGTATCAGATTGTAGCCTGATATAGTCGCTTGGTAAAAGTCACCGGAGATTGGGTAATGGAGATAGGCTGTCAGCGCTGAAATAAGCTGGACAGACAGTCAAATTCATACTAAAATGCTTTGATATTTCAGAAAATAAACTTTAGTCACTGGTCTCTAATATTGCTATCTTTGGGCCAGCTGTGCAGCGATATATTGGATTCCTGACACCTAAATATTGCGCAGCGTTTCCTTGACATTTTTCTTTCTTGTGGTTGCTAGCTCAGTGACGGAATGACTGCTTGGGATTGTGTTGTTAATAAAGTTAAAACAACAGCAGCAACAACAACAAAAAAGATTGGATGGGAGTCTGTGGGGCATATAGTTGTAACATCACAAAGTCACAGAAGTCCTGACGGCTGGTTTTAAGGCTCAGTGTCTGAATACAGGCTGTGTGCGTTTCTCTGTGGACTGAGGCTTTGATACTTTCACAGTATTAATATAGAACCTAGACCTGATCTATAATCACACTACACATGGACACAGACCGTCAGACTGTATGGGACCTTTTCAAAGGATTAGTCTCACTGGGAGATTCATGATTCTTAGATTTTCCTCCTGTCATTCCTCTTATCATCTGGAATATGATAAGTGGAATTTTAAGGGATGTTTTCCTGACAGGAAACATCTGGGAATGAAATAAATCTTCAAAGTAGAAAGAGTCTTTATGTGTATTTCATGAGGAAACGCTACATCCTTCAAGAGGGAACCTTTGTTGCTCTTCCTCGTGTGTGTCTTTCTTTTCCTTTAGTTTGCTTATCTGAACCTTCCTTATCTAAAGATGCAGGGTGTTCTGTGTTGCTCACATTGCAAAGCTCCAAGAAAAAGGTTTGTCACAACTGATGAGAAATGGGAAAATAAAAAATAAAACCATCTTTTCAGTAAGAAAAACAGGATCAGTTTAGCTGAAAACAACTTAAGATTCTTCAGGACAGTTTCTCACATGAAAGTTTCTTTTGGGATAAACAGGGTACCGCAACAGGAAAGTTGGTTTCCCTCCCTGTCAGTAAGTGTGAGCAGCTGGTGGCAGGTTGTGTAGGATGAATGGATGCAGGCGACAGGTCCTCTGGCGTTCAGAGGCTCTCTGTTTCCAGCAGGTATGTTAGACAGGATTGGGTAATATCTCTGTTCTGGGGGGGGGGGGCACAAACAGCCTGTGGTTTTACAAGAAGCAGTGGTCTGCGCTAACAGGACCCAGGCCTCAGTGGTGTGTTATGTCACCCCCTGGACACACACACACACACACACACAGAAACACACAAACTCAGCAAATTTACAGTCAAGAAACACATATGTACATGTAGACATACATACACACTCATAAATACTTCTACATGTATAAAACACACACTGGCACATGTCCTCATTCATTACACACACACACACACACACACACACACACACACACACACACACACACACATGTTGAGGCCCAGAGGTGAATGTTTATGGGAAAACTTTGGTGGAATAAAAAACTTCCTCCAACATATTGAGGCCACAGCTCAGTAGCTCACACACTGCACCACAAGGAACCCATTCATAATTCATATTCCTTACTTTAAATGTGTGTGTGTGTGTGTGTGTGTGTGTGTGTGTGTGTGTGTGTGTGTGTGTGTGTTTCTGTCCGTGTCATGATGGGAAATCACCCCTAACCAAGTGCCGGTAAATCTGGGCTGTGGCTAATACTTTAAATATTGCAGTTGTAGGTGGCTGTGATTTTCTGGTTTTAAACTAATTTAACAAATCACTTCACATTTATTCAAGCAGCTATAATGTGCTGTTGGATAAAACTAGGTTATAAATCAATATAATTGGTATTTGATTTAATTATGAGATTGAATATGATGTGAGAATTGGTTATGGTAATGTTTTCCAGTATCTTCTCTGCATCCTTGTCTTCCCGCTCGTTACGGTTGTGTTGCAGTGATCAATAAAATGAGCAGTAAACCATCACTTCACACAGAGTATCACCTAATGCAGAGGTTTCCAGATGTTCCAGATTTCTTTGCCACTGGATGCTTGTTTTGGATGGATTTGAGTTGTGACAGAAACATTTTAGTGTATAATCTCCGCTCTTCCAGGAGAATTTGTTGACGACCATGTTCATTTCAACCAACCATGCCTAATGAGATAGTCTTTGCTTCGCACGTCACGCTGCAGCCTGAAGTCACGGGGCGTAGTCAACAGCGCTCACGTCGTCTGTCACGTCTTGCCTGGACCGGCACTTTGATCTCATGCAAATGAGAGCGTTAAATCCAACAACCGAAACTCCTCGTCACGTTGGGAACTCGACAGCTCAATCAGCTGTTTGACGGCGCTGGCAGATCCGTGGAGATCACATTACAGTAAAGCAACTGCCCAGTCACACTGTCTGTTCACTTGTTAGTTTACCATGTGTGACAGGAAATTTTGCTGCTTTCACTGCACATAGAGTTTATCTTCACTAAATGTCAGGTTACATCACTTTCATGCAGGCACTTTTATTTTCTCATTCAAATTCAACTTTTTAAGAATGAACTGGTTAGATCATCTATAAATTCTTTCTAAATTGAATTTCTAGAAAATATTATACATTCCACTGATCAAAAAATATGGTATATAAATATATGATATAAGCACTTTTGATCAGATGTTTTTAAGCACTATTGTTATGGATATTAGTCTATTGTCTTTCTACAGATGCTCAAAGGAAACCAGTGTTTCTGTTTGCAGGCTGTTATCTATTTATCTGTCTGTATTTGTTAATAAATATGACTTATGAATATTCATAGCCACCGGTCACTGTCACTTGTGAGCCAATTTGTCTGTGTGTGTGTCTGTGTGTCTGTGTGTGCGCAGAATGGGATCACTCAACATTTAAGTACTGCCAACACACACACACACACACACACACACACACACACACACACACATTCAGTATGTGTGGTTGAGGTCAGGTCCAGAACTATCAGCTGTAGAAACAGGACATCTCTGTGGTCTACCAGTGGAGGACAGACTGTGACTTGTGAGAAATTGGAAATAAAAGTCACTTTTAGTTTTATCGTCCATTATATATGCAGAGCTGAGATTTGTGCTTCATAGCAAATGGCTTTTATTTTCTATTAGATCTTAGATTTTGGGTTGTTCAGTATACTTTTGAGATGGTGAGACCTTTTGGCAAACTTTTACTACAGCGCCTGAGAAAAATGCAAGAATACTTTGGATGTTTGGCAAAAAAAAAACTAAACTAAAGGTCACTTTGTTTTCCTTCTCTCTTCTCCCTCTTTCACTTCCTCCCTTCTTATTTTCCTCTTCATTTCTAAACCCTCTTTTACTTCTATCTGTCATCCTCCTCCTCTGTTCTTCCCCCAGGAACATGATCAAGTCTTTCTACACAGCCAGTCTGCTGCTGGATGTCTTGTCTGTGTTTGGGGAGCTGTCAGAGGAGGTAAGATAAAGATCCTCACATGAATCTCAACTTTGATCTCTGTAAACTGTCTGAAAACTCCCATTAAAATGATCAACAAAGCCCCTGGAGAGACAAAAACCAATACAACATCTATCCTCTTTTCAAAGACTAAAAAGATTAAAAAGATTATGCATCTGTGCCTTTGAACAAAGGATGTCACAAGAACCGATACTTCAGTATCAAGTCAATGCCAAAATTCTGCAAATGGGATAATACTTGTAGGAAGTGTAGATACTGGAGATGTGATTCTTCCAGGAGTGATGAGGGCAGTATAGTAACCCTATAACCGTTGTAGACTAACATTAAACTGGAAGAGTGGGGTGGCAAGGTAAACAATAACAACATGTGGAATGGCAGCAGACAAGACTAATATAAAAAGACAATATAGAAAGAAACATGAATAGGATCTAAAAGCAGTAAAATAAAATATCAGATAAAAAAAAAACGGAGAGTGCAGACCACTGCCAAGGCCGGTGTCAAACAACATACACCTGACTTCAGAGACAAAAAAATGTGATCCGGATTTGCCCCAAAATTTTATGGGTTCTTTCCTGGCCCATGAACCATCCCTCCACCAAGTTCAGTGCAAATCGGTTCAGTAGTTTTTGTGTAATCCTGCTGACAAAAACACAAACAAACAAAAACAGACATGGGTGAAAACATAACCCCATTGGCAAAGGTAATGAGCTGCAATATGAGAAAGATTAAACATTCATTCATTCATTCATTCATTCATTAGCAATACCGCTTATGACAGCATGGCACACAGCAGGTCTTTCTATACGTTGTGTCCAAGTCTCCCAGAAGCCATTAAAACATCAACAGGACACTTCTGACCGTACAGTTCGCTGTTGCAGTGAGTGAGGCCTGATGGACACACACACACACACACACACACACACACACTGATTCTACCATCAGACAATGAGTCCTCAGAGTGGCCGGTGGTGAGTGCTCTGCAGACTGACAGTCAGGAGTGATTGAGTTTCAGGCAGTAAAAAGAGGTTTTCAGCAGCTTCCCGCCTGAGCTGAGTGGAGTCAGTGATCAGGTGAGTTGGCACAGTTGTTATGTAATGCTGTCGACCATCAGGAACCATTATTCTCAGTGACAGCTTTCCCTCTGGACTGCACTGTGGCGTTGTGAGTAGTGAGGAAAAGAAACCAGGTTTAAACCCCCTATGCTGGCCTGAATTCACCCTACTGAGCAAGAAACTGAATCCCTGCATACCTTACCTTGTGCAGCTAACCTCTGACCTTCCTGTGAAGCAGAGGAAGATGAAGGGGGATTTCCTTACACGGGTTAATTTCCCATTAATCCTTGTATTATCAGTACTCTCCTCATTGTCAGACATGCTGTCACAAGTCCTGACGGCAATCAAATGCATTTAAGTTTACAGTCATTGAGGCAACTCTCAACTGTCTTAGAATCATCGGCAAGCAGCAACAAAAAGCAGGAGCAAAAACTTGTAACGATGAATTGTAAGAATGAATGTTAAAGAAGACAGATCTGGGTAGCCCTGTCTCTTCCGAGTGGTTGTTTAAAACCCCTGAAGCCTTGATGACAGAGGCAGTACGAATTTTATGCTCCATTCACACAAACAGACCCGAACACTGGTGATGCAACAGGATGCCAGTCATTTGAACACATTGTTGCTCCATAGTCTGGACCTTGGAACTCTCGGACCTCTCTGCCAGAGAATCATCAGTTCTCGGGAGAAGCATTGCTGCAATAATTTAAATTCTACCTGGTACAAATATGCTGGGTCCCTTTGGTAATTCAAGTTCCTCTTTCCTCTTAAAGGACCCATAACCCTGCCTGGGTTAAAGCCTTACAGAGGACCGCTGTGTTACAGCAGAAAGCCATATCTGCATCGTTCTATCACCCAGGCTGTCACGGTGCTGATCCCTGCAGACAATGACAGCGTTGACCATCTGTCTCACCGCCTACAGCTATGATAATCGCTGTCCACCCAGTGAGCCTGACAGTGACAGTGTCAGACCATACCTTCTACATTCATAAGTTTATCATCCGTTTGTGTTACAGGGAGCAGCTGTTCATGTTCAACTTGACTCATAGCTCTTTACAGGAGACTGAAGGCATAAAAAAAGGTGACTGTAAAACCTAAAGCTAGACTGTCCAGATTTCTATAAATATACTCAAAGATTGTGGGTCAAATACCCCAAACCAATCGAATTACAGCATTCCTTGTTGTGTTGTATGTATGTATGGTATAAACTACTAATAAATAAACCAAAGAAGCAGAACTGATTGACACAGACAGTCAAGTCAGTATCCAACAGCCTTTACAATCTGTATCTTTACAATCTGTACGGCATATGGCACCTTCTGTCCTTGGACCCTCAAATTGGACAAGGTAAAACTCTCCTAAAACACTAACAGTAAAAAATGGAAGAGACCTCAGAAAGAGCCTTCGTCCAGGATGGACGGTCACTTATCACTGTCAGATTTTTTTAAAAACTGTCCTATAGCCTCAAAAATCCAGTATTGGTCAGGCTATAGTATAAACCATCAAGGGCAGGGATGAGCTTGAGCCAACATGCAATTGGGTTGCTCATTGAGATATGTGGTTTCAATCTTTTTTCCTTGAGGTGGTGTTCTTACTTTTTGTATATTGTATTTAATCACTTGGAGTATTCATACTGTCTGTACTGTCAGGATTCTTGTAACCCTAACACTTCCATTCTGTTCTATTTAATTGGTGTGCAGAAGTTTTTTCATTTTCTTCCTAAATTGTTTTAATTCTGCATTTTAAAAAATCCATCATCCACTCTTTATGTTTTAATAATAATAATAACTTAACTTAATAGATTTTTATAGCTCCTTTCAAGGTACCCAAGGCTGCTTTATTTTGCTCTTTCATTTGATAGCTTCACACTCAGTCACTTTTCTCCTGAAATTTTAAAATGATTGTTTTAAAATTCCTGGCTTCCCATGCTGTGGTATAACATCACAGCAGTTCCGTGTCACTGATAAGAAATGACTCAGTCTTTAAGACTGAAACTGAATAAACACCAGCCTACTTCAGATCAGACCTTAGTGCTCCAGTATGCCATTGTTCCTGAGCTGCTGCTGAAAACATGGCACTTATCTAGTAGAAGCAGGAATTTCTCCATTCATTCTTATCAGCTCCTTGTCAGTGTATATCTGCTTTCCTTGCCTCTCTTTGCCTACTCAGCTCTTTTCACCTTTTGAACATCCTGCCTCCCTAACCCACTCTACCCGTTAACTCTTGCCCTTACTAACACTTCCTTCTGGCCGCTTTACACATTACCTCTTACTTACAGTAAGCCCAATCTTTAATATCGCAACACCCTTGCCCTAACATCTACTACTTCTTTGATTGCTCCAACAACTAAAATACCCCTTTAATCTCTGCCCAAAATGATTTTAATGTACTCAACAAGTGCACTGACCTTGTCAAAAACTGCCCCAAATAATTACTCCGCTTTCATTGTTCTTAACCACTAATACTTAACCTTTTCAATCGCTGCCCCTGACAATCACCCCACTTTTTGTATCCTCAACAACTAATTCTCCCCTTTTACCCCAAGTAATACCTACCTTTTTCAAACCTTGCTTCTAAAATGTACCCCACTACGATTGCTTCCAACAACCTAATACTCTTTTCAATATAGCTAACAAGGATTTCTTCACTGTAAATGTCCTGAACAATTACCCCCTGAACCCAGCAACTGCCCTATGTATGATACCCCTAAATCTTTCTTCATGTCTCAAACAAATGATACCCATCTTTTCAAATCTTGGCCCCAACATTTACGCTAATCTTAATATCCTCAACAAATAAGACCTTCCCTTTAAAGCCTGGCCCCAAATGATTACCTCACATTAAGGGCACTGTACAGATAATATAAAGTTGAAACCAGAAGTTTACATACACTGTATAAAAAGACACATAACCTTCTTTTCCTGTTTTAGGTCACTTAGGATTACCAAAATTATTTATATTTGCTAAATGCCAGAATAATGAGAGAGAGAATTTTTTAGACAATTTTTTATTACTTTTTTCACAGTCAGAAGTTAACATACATTTCATTAGTATTTGGTAGCATTGTCTTTAAACTGTATGACTTGGGTCAAACGTTTTGGGTATCCTTCCACAAGCTTCTCACAATAGTTTCCTGGAACTTTGGCCCATTCCTCCTGACAGAACTGGTGTAACTGATTCAGGTTTGTAGGCCGCCTTGCTTGCACACGCCTTTTCAGCTCGGCCCACAAATTTTCTATAGGATTGAGATCAGGGCTTTGTGATGGCCACTCCAAAACATTGACTTTGTTGTCCTTAAGCCACTTTGTAACTAATTTGGTGGTATGCTTAGGGTCATTGTCCATTTGGAAGACCCATTTGCACCCAAGCTTTAACTTCCTGGCTGATGAAAACACCCCCACAACATGATGCTGCCACCCCTGTACTTCACAGTTGGGATGGTGTTCTCAGGCTTGCAAGCTTCCCCCTTTTTCCTCCAAATGTAACGATGGTCATTGTGGCCAAACAGTTCAATTTTAGTTCCATTAGACCACAGGACATGTCTCCAAAAATTAAGGTCTTTGTCCCTGTGTGCATTTGCAAACTGTAATCTGGTTTTTTTATGTTGCTTTTGGAGTAATGGCTTCTTCCTCGCTGAGTGGCCTTTCAGCCCATGTCGGTACAGGACTCGTTTCACTGTGGATAATAACACTCTCTTACCAGCGTCAGCCAGCATCTTCACAAGGTCTTTTGCTTTTGTTCTGGGGTTGATACGTACATTTCGCACCAAAGCACGTTCATCTCTGGGACACAGAACCCGTCTCCTTCTTGAGCGTTATGATGGCTGGACATTCCCATGGTGTTTATATTTGCATATAATTGTTTGAACAGATGAACGATGCACCTTCAGGTATCTGGAAATTGTACCCAAGGATGAACCAGACTTGTGGAAGTCCACATTCTCTTCCTGATATCTTGGCTGATTTCTTTTCATTTTCCCATGATGTCACACAAGGAAGCAGTGTATTTGAGGTGTGCCATAAAATACATCCACAGATGTGCCTGTAATTAACTCAAATGTTGTCAATTAACCTATCACAAGCTTCCAAAGCCATGACATCATCATCTTATGTTTACCCTTAGCCATGCCTACCTTTACTTATGCTTCCTGCCCATAGACTCCCACTTAGCCATCACAACCAGTTACCAAATTACCTACAACCCTACATTTAATCCCATCACCTACATTTTACTTCCTGTCCTCCCTGCAAACTGCCTCCCAACGTGACTAATATCGCGCTGTTGTCTCTCTCTACCCAATTATTTGACCTCCATCAGAATATCCAGCACAGGAAGTATGCCCGCTGGAAGGCCACCTACATCCACAACTGCCTGAAGAACGGGGAGACGCCTCAGGCTGGGCCCATCGCCATGGACGAGGACGGGGAAGCAGGTGGGACACACTGATAGGGCACTGAAAGACACACATACACGAACACACACATTGCTGAGCTCCCAGTTACAAAACACTCCATTTTCTCTCCTGAGCTTGCTCTTTAAAGAACACTTCCTTTGTTGACATTGTTTTGTCTATGTGTTCGTGTAAGAGTGTGTATATGTGCGTGCGTGTGAAGCTTGGTTCTGTATTGTGTGCCTTATCAGTTCTGGGACTGTTGCAGGAAAGCCCTGTGGTATAAACTAGAGACTTTGGGAGATTAGAGGTGTGCGGAGACTAGATTAGTGATGTAATGTAATGTGTTCTTACATTTCAAGTAAGTTTGTGCTTGTTTGTCAGAAGGAATGTAAGTCATTCGACTCTGAATAAGAATTTAGGCTATGTATTTGAATGTGCTAAGGCTGTGCTAGGCCTCCATGTGTATTTATGAGCATGAGATTGTCCTGATATTTATTCTATTATTCTCCATTCCCCTCATATCCAGCACAGATCAACTCTGAGTCTCTGACCTTTGTCACGCTGAAAAGCTCTGGTTTCTGCTGCCAGACTTACACCATAAAGCATAACCTTTAGGAGAAAGAAAGCATGGGAAAACACTACTAGATCCCGAGGAGATTGACTGAATTATTCAGACAACAACATGGCCATTTCAGCCTCTTAAAGTTCATTCGGTTGTGTGAAGCATACGGTGGGAAAAAGCACGACAGGAAACTAACCTTTTTGTTTGGCTGCCAGGGTGGTAAGTTCTTCCCTAAATTCACAATTTTTGAAGCAGACAGGAGCTTTGCAGTAGATTACGACCTCCAAATGGTGGCTCTCTATTCAAGTGGCTGTTTGACTGGTCTAATTTACAGGTCATCCTTAAAGCTTACCGGCATTTGTCTTTTGGCAGGTGGTAATTCAGTTTGATGTCTCCCTTAGTTTAAGTCTACTGAAATGTCTCAGCTGTGTTTTTCATTTCTTTCTCTGAAACCACTAACGCCCCTCGACTGACCTTTTCCATCTTATTACATTTATTCTGTTACTAGTAAAAAAACAGACATTTAAATGCCCCATCAAAGAACCTACTGTTTGCACAGACAAAACCAGAGAACGGTCTCAACATTACATCCTGCCATTTTTCTCATATTCTTACTTGTGGATTGAGTACGAATTCCTATTAATATATATTGTGTGTTTTTAAATGCATTCACGTGGTAGCTTTTGCAAGCTATATCCTCCTTTACAGAGTAGGACTGGGTATCAAATGCTAATACTTTTGTATACTGACTGAAATGTGTCCGTAGTATTGAAGATGGAAAGTATCAAGTATCGTACGTTGGGAGTGACTGCAAATTTTTTGGATGAAATGTTAATTGGTCTAAATCAGAAATGCTGCACAATGTCAGTCACATAAACTCATTCTATTTAGTTACAGTCTTTCAGTCAGTAGACCTTTATGAGCTAGAATTCAACACATCAGGTTTAAGTGCCAATCAGATTAACTTAGAAGCATTGCAGGGCTGGTGGATGACCATGGAAAAAATACAAGTTGTTTGAATCTGATTCGTATGAAAAAAATAAACAAGTAAGGCTAACAAGATTCAGGTGAGCAATATTTACTATATTCAAACAGCAGTACCACACGTCATGTACAAGATGGACAGATTTCTGACAGGGAAGACGATCCAAAATATGAAGTCTGTCTTACCTTCAAGTTCATTGTCAGTATAGTGACATAGAGAGCCCTGTGTATTTTGGATGTGTTGTAGACATCTGGACCTGTCATTAAAACTTTATGGTCTGCAAGAACCTCAGTAAAGCTTTTTACCCAACCTTAATCAGGAAACCTTCGTCATTTTTAGACTATTTTTGTTGAGTCAAGTCCAAGCGGCTTGTGTAAAGACATTTACCACTGATGCAATGTGATGTTTTCCAATGTTTAAATTTCTCAAAATCAAGCATACTGTACCAAAACACAGGCATCATGTTATGATTGGTCAAAACATTTCAAACAGAAACCAATCCAGGTACAAAGGTCGTCTTTGAGTATAATTAAGTGTCCATTTGCATAAATTGTAACAATATACTGTATACATTTATTGATGGTACAAAAGATTAGGAATACTCCCTTGATAACAATTATAATTATAATAATTATAATTCCCCATAGCAAGATGTTATTGCTTATTGATCACGAATTCCAACGCCTAAGGCGGAGACGGAGCTGAAGAGAATCACATGACTTTTAACCTCTGAGACAAGTGAAGTGTGGATTGTACAAAAGGGACTTCAGCTCAGTATCATGACTTTGAAAGACAGCGCAGCGCAGTCTGTTCAGTGAATTATATATTTATTCTGATAATTCCACAGACCGTAGAGACTTAAGCTCCAAGCAGAGTTTCTACTGGGCTGCATGGGACTGGACAGCATCTGGACTTGTTTTCAGATTGCACTTTGAGAGCGAGAAGTTGCGTCAAAGGCCTCTCGGGAAGACACAAGACCAAACTGGAATTTATTTTGACATGAACACCTATGGGCTCACACACGTTTCACTTCCCTGTAGGGAAACTTTAAACGTATTTTTCATGTCAGTGAACTGATGTTGACAAATTCCTCGCTAAAATAAAGGCCATCTGCTTGTCCACGCCCACTCAGTCCACATACATGTGGGTGTGTTTGACCCAAACATCGCCTGCTCGGCCATGACATCACCCTGAGAAACCCTCAACTGCACATGCATGTACCGTTAACAATACACATACACACACACTCACACACACACACACACACACACACACACACACATCGTAGCTACATGTAACGACAGTTTCTTTCCCACCTTCACTCTCTTTTATTTTTCCCTTGAACATTGCTCACACACTTTCACACCCCATATTCACTGACATACTCTCCTCTCTCCCTCTCTCCCAGTGTGCATTAGGGTCTCTGTGTCAGTGATGACATCATGATAGTTTATTCCCACTGATGGATAGCACCGCCAGCACACAGCTAATATCATCCACCCAGCACATGTGTGTGACCTCCTTGGTGTTTCTTTCTCTCTTTTTTTTTCAGATTTTATCAGCATTTCAACACTCGTATCTTGGTGTGTGTGTGTGTGTGTGTGTGTGTGTGTGTGTGTCTGTCTTTTCTTGCAGACACATCAGCAGCCCAGATGTTTGTTTTTTTGTTTGTGCATGTGACAGAGAGAGCAAAAAGCATTCCTTTCTGACATGATCATTTTTGACTGATTGTCATTGTTGTTTTTTGAACTGCAGACACAACGTGGTTGTGATAAATGGAGATAATTTTTGTGGTCAAATTGTCTATTCTCGGTGGTGCAGGTCTAGTTTGGGATGGATTCCAATAGCCAGTTCCATTTTGAATCCAGCTCCAAGTTGGTAAAATACCAACACCAACAAATTCATTATCGAGTCTTTGATCCATGTGCTCTGTTTAGTTTCTTTTGGCTCTCTCTGACACTACAGACAAAAGACTGATACCATATACAAACTCTTGAGAACTCAGCAAGGCTGTTCTTTACAGCAAGCATGGCGGACCGGCTTCAACATTCCAAAGTTAACAAAACAACTGCAAAATGCAATATTTGTGGGATGATACTTACAACTTAGGGGGGAACAATAAGTCCTGTGATTAAATATCTCTCATCCATCATAATTAAGTAGAACGTGTTACTTTTGATAACTTGCTTGGCCTCAACCTGCCGCCGATGTGCAACAATGCAGTGCAGTGCAACAACAGATTTGCAAATTTGCATTGTGCAAAACATCCACGCAAACTGCAAGTAAAGACTCAACAAGAATTTCGGAAGGGGGGGGCGTCATGTGGCGTAGTGGTCTAAGTGTGTAGAGGCCACAGTCCTTGCTGCAGTCGGCCCCGGTTCGAGTCCCGCATCGGACGGCCTTTGCTGCATGTCATTCCCCCTCTCTCTGCCTCCCCATTTCCTGTCTCTCTACTGTACTATCAAATAAAGGCATAAAAAGCCCCAAAAAATATACTTAAAAAAAAAAAAAAAAAGAATTTCGAAAGGATTCCGATTTGAAAAGTGGATTTGATACTGGATTCAGAGTCAACAAAATACAAACCCCATCCCTGTTTCTGCCACTGTGGGGTCCAAACTCTCAGCAGAGATCGACTAAAAACATGACCACAAGCAATGGTGTTGACATGCAACGGCCACGATTGATAGACGGACAGATAGAGTTAAGCATTTTATAAATTTAAAGATTCATTCAGGTTGATTAAAGTAATTGTAAGTTTTAGCCCTAAGCCTGGTTTAGTAAAGCAGACTAACACAGTCACATTCTTGTTTCACAATAAGTTCTTTCTCTTTTTACAAAAATTGTAAATTGAAATTGAAGTTCGTACTAAACCAGGCCGATGGATAATCAATACATTCTTATTTTATTCAGCTGATTCAAAAGCTGTCTGCAATTAACCAAACAAATACAGCGTGAGACAGAGTCGGACTGTTTCCTTGTCTCTGTTCTTTAAGGGTTATATCAGCTGCTTCACAAATGGACATGGAGAGAATATTCATGGACTCCTTAGTTTGGTCACATTTTATTTAACATGCAGACTCGATGGTTTCAGTGAACACTGCCTGGAGCCCCACATGCTGTTAGGATAAGGTGTAGAAAATAGATTCTTATTTAAGAATTAGGTCATCCTCCCACGCTGTGCTTCTACTTTTTTTTCCAATATGCTGAAGGACTCTGGCAGTCTACTGGTTCTCCACAGGTCAAAAGTACATCTTTACATGTTTTCATCAGCACCATGCTGCTGTGGTGGACGCGCCTCCGTCAGCTGGTTGCTGCTGTGTAACAGCAGGCACTGGACACTGCAGTGATATGAACCAGTTTAAGTAGGTTAATTAACCTCTGGAGAGTCCTGCAACTGTGTTTGACACACACACTCACTTCTACACAGACACACATACTGCCTCACACTACCACACACACTTACCAACCACTCAAATGTACCAGCGGTAGTTA